TAGTTCCACTGTAATTAGTAGGCAATCGCCCAGCACTGACTAATGTTGTTCTAGATTGGAAGGCTGTGATATAGCTGAGCCATTAATTTACTCATTTAATCATTGAAGCTGTGATTACTTGATTAATTAATAAACAGAAGCAGATTGGAGATTTATTTATTCAAACACTGGAGCAGGCAGCTAGTTATTTTAGTGAAGTAGGACTCCTCAGTAGAGCAAAAATTTAAGTTTTAGAATGCAAATATTGGGATGGAGTAGTAGTAGGTCATCATGGTCATAGTTTGGAGGGCCAAAGGAATCCACCAGGAAGTGGTTTAGGATGTCTATGTCTCTATGACTCATTTAATCCGATAAAAACAGATCAAATAGCCATTGCAGAGGATGGTAGACATGAGTGGAAATTCATTTTCACCATCATCACATTTGTTTTAAGTCAAAATGATATCTTTTAGAATTTGAATTTTTTGGAGTAATCAGGCTGGGAGTTTTAGTTAAGAATAGGACTGGAATCACGTTACAGGAGCTATGTTACAGATAACATTAAATCATTGTTTCTAATCCACAGACTGATCTCTAAATGGGCTTTGCAATTAATCGACATATTACAAATGAATTTCCTATCACCTTGCAGGAAAAAGAATCACCCACATTTTGCTGTGGTAACGACCGTGAAGTTGTCAGTGCTCACCATCATTATTCCCGAAACTGACTGCACCTGTATGCAGAATAACACGGGAACCCAGAAGGTGTTGTGAGTGGTTCTATGCTCCTCTAGAAGCAATGCTATTTAAGAATCCCCAACTCAGGCTACACTCATAAAGGTCAAATTAATTTAATGAGAACTTCCACTCTTAATATTGTTGTACGAACAGTTGAAAAAGTTACATCTTTATCAAATGACGTACTACCATCGGAGACCCTGAAGAAACAATTTTAGATTTGTAGAATCTCATTGTTTCTATTTTCAAGTTTATCTTTAGATTAACTTCTCTGTTAATCCAAATTATAACGCAAAAATTTAAATTAAACGTGCAAGATATTAAGTGCTTTGAACTTCCTGGTTTGATGTGTGTATGAATATTTCAACGTGATTGGTTGTGTGTTCGCTGACATCACTACAGTTGCAACTGAAACTTGCACTTGACTTGGCGCCAGAATCAAACTGCCAGAATTTAACTGACAACATGACAAGGTAGCTTTGTCGAGATTAGAAGAAACCTTTGCTTCCCTGCTGACTGCAAAATTCTTTATGCTTATTAGTTTGTTTAACAGATTAAACTGCAGATGAAACTTGGAGACTAGTAGGGAGGCTGTGTAGCAAGCATTAGTGTTGCCTATTGACGGCAAGAGACTATACTGTTACATTTTAGATATTATCAATGTCAAAAATTCAACACTAAAGTTTAGCAACTGAGAATAGGTGACAAGATTTTACATAAACTGAATGCCAGAGCTCACTTACAAACTCTGGCATTTATCACAGCGGAATCAGATGTTTTGTGCAACTGACTCTGAACTTATAGCTAAAGCTCCATATTGTCAGACCGACTGTACACTTTTATATTCAGAAGCATTAGGATGTAGGAAAGGAAGTTGCAACTTGTACATTGTACAGTAACTTATGTACAGATCATTTAATATAAAATAGTCTCTGTGACAATTGGATTACTGGCCTTGAAAAGACAAGCAAAGAGTATAAACAGTTAAAAACCCCTTGTTTACATGCTCTGCTAATTGTTAACAGCATCAAAGCATGAGTTATGGAAGGCATAGATAGGGTAGATAGTCAGAGTCTTTTTCCAAGGGTGGAAATGTCAAATATTAGGGGGTCTAGGTTTAAGGTAAGAGGGGGAAAGTTTAAACATGTGTGAGGTAAGTTTTTTTTACACAGAGGGTAGTAGGCATCTGGAAGACATTGCCAGGGGAGGTGATAGAAGCAGATACACTATTTTGGCTTTACAACCAGTTTGTGTGGAGTGACTTATGGGTTAGTTTGCCTGAAATGTTACAATCAACACAAATATTTTCCTTTTGAATTGTTAAGACTGAGAGGAAGAAATCATTTAAACGGAAAGGTTCAATTGAATGTTTAAAGCTCTGTTTTGTAAGTATAATCTGGAAAAAAACCCATAGTACTCGTTGCAGTTTTCAGTACAGAAAAGTGTAATCCAATAGTTAACTGCAATTGGGAGAACGAAATAAGGAAGCATGCCAGAGAATGAACAAATTCCACTGAGGCCAAGATTAGCAAGAAACATAAACAGAACTAATTTCATGTTACAGTTGAACATTAACAGATGAAAAGATTTAGATGTTTTTCCTCGTTTAAAGGCAGATACAGTAATAGGGTCTATTTCAGAGGGGCAAATTGATGACAGCCTTGACAGGAAGAAAACAATTACTGATAAATAATTTAGTTGTCCTCCTGAGACCCTCCTTAAAACCTATCTCCTCATGTAAGTCCATGTCAAAGTTTGTTCGATTACACGTTTAAAGTATGATAAAGGTTTATAATATATAATTACCCCTGTATTTGTGAATTTGGATTTTAAAGTAAAGGTAAAATAGATGTGCAATTTCAATTGTGTGAAGGTAACTATTTTAAGATGTCAGAAATTCTTCAGAACATGAATCAGACATGATTTCCAAGCAGGCATGGGACTTAAGTTTAGTGCTTAATAGAATACTAATGGAGCTCATTAAGAATTTGTTTACAAAGATAAACTTTTATAACATTAAAAAACAGGGTAAGGGCAGTTAGTTTGTGAAATCTTAAACCTGTTTCAGCAAACTGTAAGAACTAAAATAGGGTGTAGAGCTGGATGAACACAGCAGGCCAAGCAGCATCATAGGAGCAGGAAGGCTGACGTTTCGGGCATAGACCCTTC